CATTATGGACTTTGATAAGAATGGTTCACTGCAATAGTATAGGACAAAAACTATATTGAAGTTTTGCTCCAAAGGTGAACAGTGACATGGTACTGTAGCAAAAGAAATGTAATCAAGGGAGTGTTGTTCGTTGTTTTGTTAATGGGAGATAGAACATGTTTGCTTAATGATAGAAAATGATCCAGTAGAGGGGGAATTTGATGATGCGAGAGGGATTCACTTGAACATATTAAGGATTGGCAGTGAAATTATTTTCTCTTTTAAAGGGCAAACAGGAATAGCCTGGGTTCAAAAAGAGGGACTAATGAGTTTTCTAAATAGACTAGGAGCAAAATCCAAATGTATGGAAGTTTAAGAAAAAGCACATCATATTTGGGGAATGGCAAGTACTTATTTTGGCTGAAACAGTGCCTTTTAAGCTAGTGACAAAATCAGAGGTTGGCAAGGGCCAGATCAAGAAGGAGTATGCCACAACATATTATACCACGGAGTTTAGAATTTATTCTGAAGACAGTGAGGATCCTCTGAAGAATTTAAAATAAAATTTTTATAGCATTTTTTAAAGATAAGATAAAAGAAGATTGATATGGAGGTTGGCAAAACTGGTGACAAGGACACCAGAGAGGAAACTATTATAGTAGTCCAGATGAGAGATGATGGGGTCTAACTGAAGATTTGTCAGTGGGTATTAAAAAGGATAGTACTGTTTTGACAGCTATTTATAAAGTAAACTCAACAAAAACATTGGTGTCCAATTGGAATAAGCAGTGAGGGGGAACTAAGCATATCAGACATAACTCAGAATTGTTTTTTGCTTTGGAGGCTAGGGAGATGTGGGGAATACAAGATTAGGTGAGGCTGCCTATTCATCGTGATTTGGGTGTTTATAGCAACACCAATGTGGTAGTCAGTTGAAGATGTGTAGTAGTCAGAGTATAAATGCACAGTCTGGCCTGGAAATAATTACCTGGGTATGGCCCAACTTGAAATCCCAGTTATCAATGAGCTTCTCAGTCAGGGTGGGTTAAGGGGAAAAAATAGTCTTAATGACAGCCTGGCAAAAAACCACTTATGAGGCAGCCATTTCAAGCCATAGTATGAGCAGTCTTTGCAGTTTATAGACACAACCGTTGCACAAAAACCATTTTTATTTTTAGCCTGTTTCTTTTTTCTTTTTTTTTCCTTTTTTTTTGTCTTTTTTCGTGACTGGCAACGGGATCGCAACCCTCGGTGTCGCGCCCACACCGCGCTCAACCCGTGAGCGGACCGGTCTCTATATGGGATCCGAACCCTTGGCGGGAGCGCTGCCGCACTCCCAAGCGCCGCACTCTACCAAGTGCGCCACCAGGCCAGCCCCAAGCCTGTTTCTTTTAAGTGTTTTTTTTTTTAAATATTTTTTTGAAACCAAAGTTTTTTTTTTACGGATAAGTTTGAAAATTTAACATATAATTTACCTTTTTCTCTTTATT